AATGGGATGCAGCACTGCTCCCAGCAGTAGCCAAGTGTCTGTAGATCTCGGAGCTGCCCTGATGCTGCTTAGCTGGTGGGGTGCCAACGTTACACCCCTAGCGTGGGGAGGGGAGAAGGAGCCAGGACGGGGCGGGAACCAGGAATAGCCGATGTCCAGGGGCCGGATGCTGAAGCTCAAAGCACAGCCCCTCGGGCCAGGAATGTCAGAGCGCTTGGGACAAGAACGGCCCATCCGGTCCCTTGAGCAGCAGGCGAAGCAGCCCCCAGAGGCAGCCCCACGGTGCCCATTCGGGTCCCAGCCCCAACCCCGCACGCGGGGGCCCTCTCCTGGCCCACAAGCAGGACTGGGGTTGCTAGGCCTGGACGGGTGTCACTGAGGGGTGTAGGAGGCTCACCCCCTTTGTAAGGGGAGTCAGGGCCCCACAGCAGCACCTGAGCCAGCCACGGTCCCTGAACCCCACCCCTGGGGGAAGGCTCCCCGGGAGCGGCGGGGCAGGGAAAGGGCTGCGCGAGGGCACGGCCGCAGGCAGGCACCCACCGGAAGAAGAGCACGGAGCCGCCGCCGGCCGCCACAGTGTTGATGTCCAGCTGGGGGGCCTGGATGCGGATCCCGGCCGTGGTCGCCTCGAAGACGTGCTCGTACTCGCCGGCGTAGCGGCTGACGTCCGTCGAGGTGCCTGCGGGGGTCACAGCTCAGCCGCTTGCCCCAGGCCCCAGCCAGGGCCTGGCTCAGAGCTAGCTCCATCCCCAGGGCCTGCAGCCTGCCCGGGCAGGGCAACATCCCAGCTTCCCCGGCCCCCTCCCAGCACCGGGCCTCGCCTGCCCTAGAGGAGCCCATCTGGGGGAGCCAGGGTCCCCTGCCGCGTGCAAAGGAGCTCAGACCCTCCCCATCTCAGTCACAGGGAGAGACCCCCCTGCAGGCAGCACCCACCTCCCATGTCAAAGCCGATCACAGGCTGCCCGTCCTCCTGGCTGTAGGTGGTGATCGCGTAGCCCACAACGCCGCCGGCGGGGCCAGACAGAATGGCCCGGGAGCCACTGAACTGCCCCATGGGGGTCAAGCCCCCGTCGGAGCGCATGAAGAGCACCTGGGTGTCCTGCAGGGGGAGCCAGAGAGAGCAGGTGAGCCTGGAGCCAGGTGGGACGAGGGGATGGGGCCCTGCATGGACCGAGGGCAGGAGCCAGGAACCAGGGTCCCCAGCTGGGTGACAGGCAGTACCAGGGTGGGCTCACAAGGCCAGCAGAACCGGGACGGGCCCTGGGACAGAGGCTGGAGCCAGGTGAGGGGCTCTGGGATGTGCCCCAGGCAGGGAGAGGGGCCTGACACGGGGACACGGACCAGGCGCAGAAGAGGGGAGCAGATGAGTCCATGTGGAGGAGCCGGGAGTGGCCATGTGGGGAGGCGAGAAGAGCCACATCTGCCTGGGTCGGTGGGGCAGCCCCGGGGGCTGTTCAGGGCGATGCCCACCCAGCCGCTGGGCAGTCAGGGCATGGCAGGCCCCTGGAGGCGATGTGCTGCCACGCTCACCTGGAGCTGCTGGTTGAAGCTGGTGCGGAAGCCATCGAGGTAGCGGCGGATGCAGGGGGTCAGGTAGGCGTCGGCGCAGGCGGTGTATCCGCGCGGCACCACCCGCACCATGGGCATCACCGAGGAGGACAGAGACACGTGCTGGAAGCCCAGTTCTCGGGCCAGCGCCCCCACCTGCTGCTCATGGGCTGGCCAGCTGCCAGAGAGAGAGAGCGGAGTCAGCGGCGCCCGTGTCCCCAGAGCAGGGCACCCCCGCCCCAAGCCAGACGGGAGAGCTCCCTGGCCCCCGGGGGCAGGGCCATGCTAGCAGCTGAGCAGGGGCACTGCTCAGGTGGGGCACTGAGCCGGGGGGTGGCACAAGGCTGACCTGTTCCCCAGGCACATGCCCAGCCCAGCCTTGGCTTTGGAGGTGCAGGCTCCAGCCCCGACTGGCTCCGAGCACTGCGAGTGGGGTGGGGACCAGCGCCAACTCGGCTGAGCCCAGCACTCATCTCACCCCTGCCCGCGTCTGCCCCATGCCCTTGGGGATGCCCCTTACGCCCCCCCCCCAGCACGTCACCGCACACCTGCTCCACTCGGGGCCATGTAGGCAACAGGGGCCCACGCGGGACTCACGCGTAGGAGTGCAGGAGCACCACTGCCAGGCTCCGGATCCCCCGCGCCAGCAGTCGCTGCAGGTCTCTCCGCAGCATGGCCAGGTCCACGGGGCGCTGCACCACCAGCAAATCCCCCGTCACGCCTGGGAAGAGGACGGAGCCACGGTAGAGGGGCCCACACATGCAAACCGCAGCCCCAATCCCCCCCTGGAGGCCATGGGGCAGAGGGACAGAGAGCAGGGCAATGTGGGGAGGGGAATGGCTGAGGGCAGGGGGGGAGAAGGGAGGGGTAATTGGGGCATTGGAGAGACACCAAAGGCACAGGGGCTGAACCCCCTCCATGGCACTGCCCTGGGTATGCACCGGGAGGAGGGGGGGCCATCCAGCCAGCCCTGACTGCCCCCTGCCTCTGCTGCTCTCCGCCCGGCTCCAAACACCAACCTGAGAGTGCCTGGCCGGGGTCAGCCCCGGGGAGCTGGCAACCGGCGCTGTGCAGGATCAACCGCTCGTCCACCTCGACCACCTCCTCATACAGCACCTCGGGCATTGCCACCGTCTGGGGAACCGACAGAGAGGGGCCCGGTCACTGCCAGGCTGGGGGGCTGGAGTGTGGAGACCAGCCCCAGGTCAGGGCCAGTCGCGCGCCCTGCCTGGTCGGGGGCAGACCCAGGGATTGGCTCTCGTCCCACCACGCTGGGGGGCAGGGGGCTCATTCTCCCCCTCCTTGCTGCAGTTCACTCCATCGCTCTGGTCTCCTGCTGCCACCCTCACCCTCCAAGCGCTTTCCTCGGGGGTGAAGGGGGTGTGCATTGGGGTCCCCGCTCCCGGTGTGAGTCTGCTGCCTGTGCTGCCCCGCCACGTCCTGCCACCCCCCACTGACCCAGGTCTCTCTCCGCTGCTCCGGCTCCTCACAACTCTCGCCCCTGGTGAGGGGCTGAGTCCCAGGCCCTGCTCCCGCCAGGACCCTCTGACTCAGCCCGGCCCCCTGGCGTGGGAGGCCCAGGTTCAGCCTCAGTAGCTTCATTTCCTCCCCCTTCCAGATGGTCCTGGAGGCGACTCCCCCGCTCCAGCTCCGGCTCCGGCTCCGGCTCCTTGCTGCACTCAGTCAGGGCCCCACCAGGACCGGCTGCTCAGGGCTCCAATCTCTCCCTCCCAGCACAGCGTCCCAGCGTTTAACCCCTCTCGCCCCAGAGAGCCTAAGGGTACGTCTACACAGCAAACCGCGGCACCGGCTCAGGCACGGGCCCGCGCTACGGAGCTAACAATAGCAGTGCAGACGTTCCCACTCGGGCTGGAGCCGGGCCCTGAGACCCGGCGGGGGGGTCTCGGATCCTAGCCTTCAGCCCAAGGCCAAACGTCTACACTGCTATCGTGTGGAGCCCGGGGCCCTGAGTCAGCCGACCCGCTGTGTGGACATACCCGAAGGGACGCCCCGGTCCGGTAGGGAGTCGGTGGCTCAGTCCAGTCCCACCAGACCCTTCCATCTAGAACAGGCCCCGGAGCCGACAGCCAGCGCACGACCCTCCCCCCGGGCGCTCAGTGACCGAGCCGCCTGGACTGGGGCTCTCTGGGGTCACCGCTGTGGTGCGTGGTCATTTCCCCCAGCCAGATGCCTCCAGGCAGCCGCCCATCAGCACCCGCCACAGACACTTGGAGGGCTCCCCAGGCTCGATCTGTAGAAGCTCAGAGATCAAAGGGTTTTGTGGAGAGGCAGCTCCTTCCCCTGGGTTGGTGGGGGCGGGGCGGGGTCGCTGCAGGAGAAACCCAGGGGATTAAAACAACAAGGAGTCCGGTGGCACCTTAAAGACTAACAGATTTATTTGGGCATAAGATTTCATTGGTAAAAAACCTCACTTCTTTGTTGTTTTTGTGGATACAGACTGTGACGAAGTGGGACTGTTCTTAATGTTTTCTCTGAATACTGTGTGGGTGCCTCAGTTTCCCCTATGCATTTCTTAAGTCTCTAGGTGGTGGGATAAGGGTGTGCGATTGTTGCAGAGCCCTAGAGGGCAGGGGTGTGCAGGTGTCTGCACAGAGAATGGCTGACACCCTGTCTCCTGGCAACTGATGGCCTGGGCCCGCCCCCTGCAAAGGTGCCAACTGAAGGTGTTGGAGAACAAAGAGATCAGGTGACCTCCTGGCCCTGGAAAGAGACAAAGGGAGAGGAGGGGCTGGAGAGTTTCAGTTTGGGGCTTGCTGGGAAAATGGAGGGGAGGCCAGACAGACCTCCTGGCCTCCCCTGGCCCCCCAAGATGGACCTGACTGAGGGGGTCCTGTTATCTGTACCTGCAAGACCTGTCTTGGACTGTATTCCTGTCGTCTAAATAAACCTTCTGCTTTACTGGCTGGCTGAGAGTCCTGGTGAATCGCAGGAAGCCGGGGGTGCAGGGCCTAGTCTCCCCCACACTCCGTGACAACTGGTGGCAATGGTGGGATCTACTGCACCCCGTGGGTGGCGCTTCCTGCAGTAAGTGACTGGGGAGCAGTAAAACAAAGGGGGATTAACAAGGACCAGGCGTGCTGAAGGCTCAGAGAGGGGTGGTTTCAGGGGGCGGAGGAGCTACGCTTAACCCCTGGGAGTGTGTGACCAGCAAGAAGGACTGTTGCAGTAACGGGGTCCCCCTGGGGACTGCGGCAAGCAGTCTCAGGGGCAGAGGAGTCTGCGGCTTGACCCTGGGAGAGAGGTGGTGACATGGAGAAGGGCTGGCACACTAGGGGTTCTTCCTGGAAACTGTGGGGAGCTGAGAGCACACAGGCCTGTGAGTCCACAACTTGGGACAGTGAAGTGATGGCCTATCACCATCTCCTTAAGAAGGACACTGTAATCCTGTGCAAAAAGAGGGGTTACGCATTGGGAAGTTCACCAAGGCCCAGTTCATCGTGCAGCTGGAGGACGAGGACCGCTCTAAGGAGCAGATTCCTGACCCAGATGGGGCTACAAGAGGACCTGGGAGCAGCTGGAGCAGTAGCCAGTCCTCCCCAAGAGTCTGGTCCCCAACCAGACGGGGGTCTTCACGATCGGGTTCCCCATCAGGGGGTCGGAGACGGTTGGGACTGGAGCTGAGTCCGAGAGAGCGAGAGGACCGTGAGAGACAGCGAGAGCCCGAGGAAAAGCTGCAGGAGAAGCAGCAGCAGCATGGACTGGCGATGGTGGAGCGGAGAGGCATAGGGGGCTCCTCAGGGGTGAGTGGGGATAGACCCCGGGCTGCCAGTTCCGCAGGGAACCTCGACACTAAATTGCTGCCCCTGGTTAAGGAGGGGGGGATGTGGATGCCCACCACAAGGCCTTCGAGCAGGCTGGCGATTTGAATCAGGGGGACCCTGCAGAGAAGACCCGGTATCTAGCTCCCTTGCTGGGTCCCAAGGCCATAGACGCTGTCAGCCAGATGGGTGGGGTGGTGGACAGGCTCCCACTCCTGGCCCCGGCCTATATGTCTGCGTGGAGTCTCCTGGGCTCAGGCCCCTCGGACCCTCAGTGGGAGCGGAAGGTGGTGGTCAATGGGGGCACATGCCTGGGGTGGCGAGACCCTGGGACAGAGAGAACTGTTGCCAGGCCCTGGGTGGTGCAGCCGCAGATGCTGAGGGGCTGTGTGACCTGGGTGAAGGTCCCCGGGATGAAGGCCCTCGCCCTGTCTATGGCCCGGATCCCTGTGCAGACACAGGAGGGGTCGGGCTGGCTGGTCGTTGGGGTTCTCCAGGATATCGGCTGTGAGGTCCTGTTGGGGGGTGACTGTGTCTCTTTGGGACAGGATCCAGGCCCTGCCCCTGTAACGGCCGAGGATTTGAATTTGAATCCAGGGAACCAATTGGCTAAGAGGGAAATGGTCAGTGACAATGCAAATGACCTGGCTGGCGGGGGGAGGAGCTGCAGGGCTCAGGATACCTGCCTACCTGTAACCAGACCCCTGGGGCTGAGTGGGAGGGAGAGATGCTCCCTGCCCCCCTGCACACCGGAGAGGGGGCTCACGCTGGCTCTGATGCTGTGACCAGAGCAGAGAGCTCGCTGCCTGCCCCCACTGGGACAGCAAGGACAGCGCTGGGCACGGTGGGAGCTGAGACCCCAGCTGAGTGGGGGGACACACAGGCAGGGCAGGTCGGCTGCCAACCAGGTTTGCCTGGTCCAGACGTGCTGCTGGGAAGTAATTACACAGGAGGGAGGGAGCTACCAGGGACAGGGCTCAGAGGGGCTGTGACCCCAGGCCCAGCCAGCGAGAGGGAGCAGGTCCCATTCCCTTCCCCAGCAGCTGAATTGCAGACCGAGCTGCAGAGGGATCCCTCCTTGGAGAAGCTGAGGGAACTTGCTGGCCACAGCGCTGCAAACCCCTTTGGGGAAGGCTGCAGGGACAGAGTCCGGTGGGAGAAGGGATTCCTCTTCCGTGAATGGGCTCCCCGAGGGGAAGTAGAACTGTGGGGAATCGGGAGGCAGCTGGTGGTGCCCCAGAAGTATCACCACAGGCTATTGTACCGGGCCCAGGATGTCCCTCTCTTGGGACACCAGGGGATCCAGCGCCCCTAGCAGCAGCTGCTGCAGAACTTTTACTGGCCCGGAGTCTGTGACGCGTCCAGCAGTACGGCAGGTCCTGTGACCCCTGCCAGAGGGTGTGGAGGGCCTGGGATAAGGGTGAAGCTCCTCTGAGACCCCTGCCCCTCATAGAGGAGCCTTTCCATAAGGTGGCTATGGACATAGCGGGACCCCTCAGCAAAGCGACCCATTGGGGGAAGAAATACATCCTGGTGGTGATGGATTTTGCCACCCGCTACCCAGGGGCGGGGGATCTGTCCTCCACCGAGGCAGACACCGTGGCAGACGCGCTGCTGACCATCTTCAGCAGAGAGGGGGTCCCCAGCGAGGTCCTTACAGACCAGGGGTCCAATGTCATGTCAGCCCTGCTCCGGGGCTTGTGGGAGAAATGTGGGGTCTGGCGTCCAACGGGCTGGTGGAGAGATTTTATGGGACCCTGAGGATGATGCTGAGGACTCTTATGAATCAGCCTCCGCAGGACTGCGACAAGTACCTGCCCCACTTGCGGTACGGGGAAGTGCCCCAGGAACCCCCAGCGTTCTTCCCTTTCGAGCTGCTGTATGGGAGGAGAGTGAGGGGACCCCTGGACCTGGAAAGGGAGGATTGGGAAGAGAAGGGGGAAGACCCCCTGTCACGGAGTGTGGGGGGACACAAGGCCCTGCACCCCGGCTTCCTGCGATTCACCATGACTCTCAGCCAGCCAGTAAAGCAGCAGGTTTATTTAGACGACAGGAACACGGTCCAAGACAGGTCTTGCAGGCACAGACAACAGGACCCCCTTAGTTTGGTCCATCTAGGGGTCCCAGGGACCCCACAGCCCCCTTTGGGGGGTCAGAGCCCCGTCCGGGCTCCCCTCCATTTCACCAGCCAGCTCCAAAACTCTAACTCCCTCCAGCCTCTCTCATTCAGCCTCTCCCCGGCTCCTCCCTCCACCTTTGTCCAGTTTCCCCGGGCAAAGGTGTCACCTGGCTCCAACCCCCTTTCCTGGGTTCTCATGTTACTGCTCAGGTCTCCTCCCTCAAGGCCAGTCTCCCATCCCCCAATGCAGACTGTCCCAGCCAAACTCCCCTGCAACCTTCCCCGGCCAACACTCCCCACTCAGCATTCAAAGACCACATTAAGAACAGTCCCAGTCTGTCACACCCCCTGGTGGATCTCTCCCCTGAGATGGGAGCCAATCCTCCCATCAGGTGTTCCCTGTTCAGAGTCACTGGGAAAGCAGCCCAGGACCTGGAGAGAGAGGTCAAGGACATGCTGGCTTTAGAGGTGATCCGGCCATTCAACAGCCCATGGGCCTCACCCGTGGGGCTGGTCCCCAAGGGAGACGGATCGATCTGATTCTGTGTGGACTATTGGAAGCTTAAAGCCATCACCGTGTCCGATGCCTACCCCACGCCTAGGCCTGGGGAGATTCTAGACAAGCTGGGGGGGGCTCAGTACCTCTCTACTATGGATCTCACCAAGGGCGACTGGCAGGTGCCTTTGGACCCAGATGCCAGGTTGAAATCTGCCTTCACCACCCCTTTGGGGCTCTTTGAGTTCCTGATCCTGCCTTTCGACCTCAAGGGGGCGTCAGCCACCTCCCAGCGCCGGGTGGATCGGCTACTGGTGGGGACGGCAGAGGCGTCGTACCTGGCCCACAAGGTGGGGAGCGGCTGCCCAAGACCGGAGCCGGCTAAGGTGGAGATGATCAGAGATTGGCCCGTTCCTCAGACCAAGAACCAGGTCCAGGCCTTTACTGGGATGGCGGGGTGCTACCGGGGGTTTGTACCCCACTTGAGCTCCCTAGCTGCCCGCATCCCTGAGCTATGTGAGAGGGGTAAGCCAGACGAGGTGGTCTGGACCGAGCAGGGCCAGAGGGCTCTCTGTGTGCTGAAGGAGACTCTAATCCAGGGCCCGGTAAATCTGGTAAACCCAGACTTTGCCAAGCCCTTTGCAGTGTTCACCGACGCCTCAGACGCAGGGTTGGGCACGGGGCTGATGCAAGCCGATGCTGAGGGGGGGAGACACCCCATCGGGTACCTGAGCAAAAAGCTGCAGCTGTATCTATTTGGGCGGCACTTTACTGTGTATACTGACCACTCTCCTCTGACGTGGCTGCATGAAATGAAAGGGGCTGATGCCGAACTGCTGGTGACAAAGACACCTGTTCAGAGGGTGGCCAAGGTCAAGATGGGGACTCTTAACCCAGACAGCCCAAATCACAGCCCTCCAGACCAGAACGCGGGGAGAAGACCCATTCTCAGTTTGAACCCCAGGGGTATTGGGGTGGCAAAAGGGCACAGGCCACATAAACCTTCCCACATGCAGCCTGCAAGCGCCATCAAGCACACTCAACCTCAGGGAGGGCGTGAAACTGGAAGGGCCTGGTGTAACTCCCACCAAGGAATGGGAGAGATGCTGGGGCATCCATGGGAACGTTGGTGGGTTCTAACTTCCCCAGGTCACTGGCTAAAGTGACCTCGCTCAGTTCAGTCTCGAGGGGGGGAGAGATGTGACCAAGTGGGAATGTTCTTAATGTTTTCTCTGAATACTGTGTGGGTGCCTCAGTTTCCCCTATGCATTTCTTAAGTATCTAGGTGGTGGGATAAGGGTGTACGATTGTTGCAAAGCCCTAGAGGGCAGGGGTGTGCAGGGGTGATGGGGGCTAATTTAGCTACAATGAGTCAGGAAAAAGATCTTGGGGTCATCGTGGATAGTTCTCTGAAGATGTCCGCGCAGTGTGCAGTCAAAAAAGCAAACAGGATGTTAGGGATCATTAAAAAGGGGATAGAGAATAAGACTGAGAATATATTATTGCCCTTATATAAATCGATGGTATGCCCACATCTCGAATATTGCGTACAGCTGTGGTCTCCTCATCTCAAAAAAGATATACTGGCACTAGAAAAGGTTCAGAAAAGGGCAACTAAAATGATTAGGGGTTTGGAACGGGTCCCATATGAGGAGAGATTAAAGAGGCTAGGACTCTTCAGCTTGGAAAAGAGAAGACTAAGGGGGGATATGATAGAGGTATAGAAAATCATGAGTGATGTGGAGAAAGTGGATAAGGAAAAGTTATTTACTTATTCCCATAATACAAGAACTACAAATGAAATTAATGGGCAGCAGGTTTAAAACAAATACAAGAAAGTTCTTCTTCACGCAGCACATAGTCAACTTGTGGAACTCCTTGCCTGAGGAGGTTGTGAAGGCTAGGACTATAACAGCGTTTAGAAGAGAACTGGATAAATTCATGGTGGCTAAGTCCATTAATGGCTATTAGCCAGGATGGGTAAGGAATGGTGTCCCTAGCCTCTGTTTGTCAGAGGGTGGAGATGGATGGCAGGAGAGAGATCACTTGATCATTGCCTGTTAGGTTCACTCCCTCTGGGGCACCTGGCATTGGCCACTGTCGGTAGACAGGATACTGGACTAGATGGACCTTTGGTCTGACCCGGTACGGCCGTTCTTATGTTCTTATGTATGTTCTTAACTGACAGCCTGGGCCCCTCCCCTGCAAAAGTGCCAACTGAAGGTGTTGGAGAACAAAGAGATCAGGTGGCGTCCTGGCCCAGGAAAGAGACAAAGGCGAGAGGAGGGGCTGGAGAATTTCAGTTTGGAGCTGGCTGGGAAAATGGAGGGGAGGCCAGACAGACCTCCTGGCCCCCCAAGATGGACCTGACTGAGGGGATCCTGTGGTCTGTACCTGCAAGACCTGTCTTGGACTGTGTTCCTGTCGTCTAAATAAACCTTCTGCTTTACTGGCTGGCTGAGAGTCATGGTGAGTCGCAGGAAGCCGGGGGTGCAGGGCCTTGTGTCCCCCCACACTCCGTGACACTCAGAGATCAAAGGGTTTTGTGGAGAGGCAGCTCCTTGCCCTGGGGGCGGCGGGGAGGGGAGGGCGCTGGATTAAAGGCTCAACCCAGGCCATGTACAAGCAGCAGGGGCAGGGAGCCTCAGGGGCTCACAGGAAGAGTTGGGAGGATCTGTGGGTAGGGATGGAGCAGCCGCAGCTGCCACGTGGCCCCACAGCCAACCCAGTGCAAATAAAGGGAGGCGGGTGCTGCAGCCAGAGATTAGCTGTGGAATCCAGCCCAGGTTCCTTCCAAACAATAGGCTCCTTGCACTGGGTTCCCAAGGACATTGTCTGTGGGTCAGTGGACAGGGCCCTCCCGAAGGGCGACTCCCCCAGGGCCTCACGTGCTGGATTCACGAGTGCCCCGCCGGCTGGAAGAACAACACAGCGTGCGTTCCGCCTGTGCCAGCCAATCGCCAGGTGCAGCGCACACCCCGCCCTGCCCAGCTGCCCCTGGCATGTGGGAAAGGGGCCCTGGGGTCAGTGGGGGGCTGGTTTACTCAGAGACAAAGCGGGCAGGAGAATCCTGCCCAGATTCCAGATGCTCCTGGACCCAGGAGCTCCTTGCCCTGGCCACACTTGGCACCCAAGGCCATAGGTCAGCAGTAGAAGCCTGGCCCGGGAGAGGCACACAGACAAGGAGGCAGGGCTGGGGACTCACCAGGTCAAAGATTCTGGGCCGGGCCTGGTTGCCGATGTGCAGGAGATCCCGGAAGCCCTTGGTGATCAGCAGGGCGATCCGCTCCCCCTTGCGCTCCAGCAGGGCGTTGGTGGCCACCGTGGTCCCCATGCGGATCCACTCTATCCGCGATACGTCCAGAGGGTGGTCGCGGGGAAAGGGAGTGCCACATTCCTGGGGGAAGCTCCTGTCACTGCAGGGCAGCCTCCTCCCACAGCCAGTAACACCCTCCATGGAGCTCAGATCATCTCATGCCCATGAGCCCAGGAGAGGAGAGTGCTGATGGGGAAACTGAGGCGCAGAGGGGCAGAAACTGGTCCAAGGCGATCCAGCAAGCCAGTGGAAGAGCTAGAAACACCCCTGGAGCCTGGCTTCCCAGCCCAGGGCTCTAACCTGCGGGGCCCTTCACGAGCCATGACCCGGCACGACCAAGGTCTCCCCCTTCTCCCTCAGGCAGACCCAGGTCAGGCAGCACTCCCTTGGGCTGGGCCCTCACCGTGACAGATCTGTCAGGAGAGCGCCCCCCTCAGGCTGTCACACACCACGCCGCCTTCCTGCACCAAACCCAGCTGGGCCAGGGAGACACGGCCACCAGATGGGCCAGGGTCACGCTGATACCTGCCGAGGCCGCTGGCAGCAGGGCCAGAGCCACAGGCAGGATGCGGCTACCTGGCTGCTGCTGCGATCCTGGCAGCGGGATGTGCAAGAGACAGACGGGGCGAGAGGCTGCCCGGTCAGCTCTGGGCTATTGGGCCCAATTTGGCTGCAGCCGGGGCAGGCTGCTGGTCAGACGGCGCCCGCTCCGATCTGCTGAGGTGCTCCGGGCTGACCTGGACCTCAGGGGGAAAGCGAGCCAAAGGGACTGTGGGACGCAGGGAGTGGGGACTGAACAGGCCCACTGGGGTGCTCCAGCACAGCCCTCGGCGCCTGGGCCAGCGTACGCAGCTGCCAGCCAGGGGGCTGGGTGGGCACCTCGGCTCCAGCCACGGGCTTGCGCCGCTATCTCCGGGACCCTGGGGTCAGGACCGACACGCCCTACCCCTGGCACTGCCAGCCTCCCCGTGCCCTGCCCCTCACCTCCTGCAGGATGCGGCGGATGCCCTCCGTGGGCGCGTCGCGGTAGCTGGCCGGGTTCTCGGACAGCAGCTTCATCACCCGGACGCGCCCCCCGGGGCAGCGGGCGAAGATGTCGGTGAAGGTGCCGCCGCGGTCGATGGCGAAGTGGAACTTGCCGGGGCTGGGCTCGGCCATGGCTGGGGGGCAGCAGGAGGGGAAGTGCCCGCGGAGCCCGGGGGGAGCAGGAGCAGCTGGGACAGCGCACGAGCCCCGGGGTGAGCGGTCTGGTCCCGCTCCCGGTCCCCGCCTGAGCCCGGCCCCGGAGAGCCGCTGCGCTGGGGCCCAGGGCTGCGCTCCTGTGGGGCTGGCAGCCAGGAGGCGGGGCTGGAGGCTGGCCGGGGAGGAAGCAGCGGGAGCGGCTGCGCTGCGCGGCGCCCTCCGGCAGACCCGGGAGCGCACGGGGCTCCCGCTGGGGCTTGGATCGCTGCGGCTGCCCGAGCCCCGCTGCCGGCTCCAGCCCACGCGAGCTTCTCCGCCCGGACTCGGTGACTCGCCACCCCTCGCCCCAGCGCTGCGCGGCGCGGCACAGAGCCCGCGGGGGACACGCCTGGCCCCGGGCCGGCCCCTCCCCGGAGCGGGTTACCGGGAGCCAGGGCTGGTGCGGGAGCGGCCCGGCGGTGCAGTGCGCTGGAGGAGTCTCTCTGAGCCATGGGGCCGCGGTGATCCGGTGTTTGGGAGGGGGAATGGGGCGGGAGCAGAGGGGTTTGGAGGGACACTGAGGCAGTGGGTGGAAATGGAGCACTGGTGATTGGGGTGGGGGTGTATGGGGGGGTGATGAAGTGGGATTTTTGATGATAATAATATTGAAGCTTCTGTGTGCCTCAGTTTCCCCTGCATGCTGCGTTGTTACCTGGGGGTGGGAAGGGCTGTTTGCTCTCCAGGCAGGCTGTGAGGAAGTGGGGGGATTTCTTGTTTTTTCAATGGTTTGCATGCAGAGGGGGTAGGACTCAGTGTCCCCAGGTGTTACTGGTTTAAGGAGGTGAGGGGAGAGGGAGTTCGTTGGGACACAGGACCGGAGAGGGAACTTGGGACCCCAGCCGATGGCCTGGAGGATGGATACCCCAGCGACCGGTGACCTGGAGACCCAATTCAGGAGTCGCAGCCGGTTCTGGCCAGTGGGAGGACAATGGGCTGCAGAGAGGGGATCCCGGTGACCTGACCAGCCGGTTCCAGCCAGAGGACAGAAGAGGGGAGAGGAGGCCCAGGCGACCCTGTTTACGACCCTGTTTACCTGGAGAGAAGACAATGGACAGAGGGGGCTTGGGGCCGGGGATCTCAGATGCCCAGCTGGGAAGCAGGGGGGCTCTGGGCTGGAGAGGGGGAGCAGACAGAGCCCACTGGGATGCAGGGAGACTGGGATGTGCTGGGCTGAGGGAGGCCAGGCCTGAGGCCGGAGAGTTTCCTGTGCTGTGTTCAATGCTCAATAAACCCTCCTGTTTTACGCTAGCTGAGAGTCACTCCGGTCTAGAGAACAGGGTCACATTATTCCCTTTAAAAAGAACAGGAGTACTTGCGGCACCTTAGAGACTAACAAATTTATTTGAGCATAAGCTTTCGTGGGCTACAGCCCACTTCTTCGGATGCATGCAGTGGAAAATACAGAAGGAAGATATATACACACAGAGAACATGAAACAATGGGTGTTACCATACACACTATAAGGAGAGTGATCAGTTAAGGTGAGTTATTATCAGCAGGAGAGAGGCCCTGGGGGTCCAGAGCGAGGGGACTCCCTGAGGGGGCCCATGGCAGAGACAGACGTGCTAAGGCTCAGAGAGGTGCGGCTCCAGGAGGTGGAGGGGCCTGACCCCGAGAGAGAGTGGACCCTGAGAAGGGCTGTCTCACTAACAGGGGCACCCCCCACGGACCGCACGGGGCCAAGAGTGGGCCTGACCTGTGAGTCCGTGACACAGGTGAAGAGACAAATGTGGGTGGCACCCAGCTGTCTGGGTCTTGCTCCCCATATCACTGGACCCTCTGAAAGGCAAATCCAACTGCCAGGACATTGATACCCAGCCACCAGTGCCCCAGAGCAACATGGACTTCCCAGCCTCTCCTTTGGGAGTCTGAACAATAATCTCCCAGCTCAAGATCTAAGGACTGGGGAGATGGGGGGCAAGTGCTGGCTGCAGGAAGCAGTCTGGGCTCGTCAGGAGTCTGGCAACGGAGGTCAGACGGGGTGGGGGGCGGACAGAACTTGAACCAAGGGTTCACTGCAGCTGGGCTGGGCTCTGGGCCGAGCAAAATGGACTGTGCGGTAACGGTCAATCCTCTTGTGACAGACTGGGAATTTGTCATAATATTTTGGATGAGTATTGTGTGTGCCACAGTTTCCCCCATGTGTTGCATGATTAACTGGGTGGGGGGGAAAGGTTATTTACTCTTTGCAGAGAGCCAGGTGTGACTGTCTGGGGCCTGACCCCACAGAAAGCCAGGCAAAGACAATGGCCGCTCCAATTGCCCAGACATTGGTACCTAGCAACTGACGACCATGGATGACCGACTCTCCACAGGAAGCCAGCCGGGTGTGATGAGCTGGAGAACAAAGGGCTGAGGAGGAGGTCCAGTGACCAGGTTTCCTGGGGAATAAGGACAAAGGATAGAGCAGGGGCCAGGTGGGGTTAAGTGGGGGGCTGTTGGACTGGGACCTCTGATCGATTCAAGCTTCACGGAGTGGTGAGAACCCAGCTCTCTCTCTCTCTCTCGGTATAGCCTTCTGACCCTGACTTATGTGATCAGTTATAGTTTTCTAAACCTGACTTTTATAATCAATTTTAAGTTAGATTTAATATTATGGCTGTTTTGTTTGTTTGGCTCCCCTATAGTTATTACCTGGCAATAAATAACTTTCATGGTTAAGCTGGTTGCTTCTCTCTCTCTCCCACCCTCCCACTCCACCCCCATGGGTGTTTTTTGGCTTCCCCATTCGCTTTGCAGCAACGCTCCTCGTACCTAAGCTAAAAATCCCTGCAGTGCCCCAAAATCCTGTGGGGTTTGCTCATCAAGTGGGTTACTGCCCGAACAATTGTAACGTGACAGTGGGGACAGGGACGTGCTGAAAATGGGACATATGAGGGTGGCAGATTGAAAGTGCTGCTCGACCCAGCCTGCTCAGGTGTACACTATTCCGGTGCGGTGCCCAGGGCACATGAGGGTGATGGCTTGGAGGTGCTGTTTGACCCGGCCTGCTGAGTCCAAGGGCCTATGAGGGTGACAGCTAGGAAATGAGGAGGGAGGGATAGCTCACTGGTTTGAGCATTAGCCCCCTAAACCTAGGGTTGTGAGTTCAATCCTTGAGGGGGCCACTTAGGATCTGGGACAAAATCAGTCCTGCTAGTGAAGGCAGGGGGCTGGACTCAATGACCTTTCACGGTCCCTTCCAGCTCTATGAGATAGGTATATCTCCATACATTTTGTCAAAGTTAGACTCAGGACTCACAGTTTGTCAGACCACTCTGTTTTATTAGCACAGCGCTCTGCTAATAC